TTGATAAAAATAAGCATGGTAAGGAAAGAAAAGTCATAAAAGCTACATTAGGCAATTCTTCGAATCACACTGGTCACAAATCTTAATACAATTAAGACTAACATAAATCTCAATACAATTAAGACGAACAGTCTCTCCAGATTCGAAAAGTATGTTTCAGCCGATCTACGTCGCACATTTGTCGTCGCCCACCTTCTACTCTGTCATCATTGTTCTTGGACCATGGAAGTCTTCTGAACCAAGATTCAATAGAGATGAAGAGTAATCCCACGAAACACTTTCTTTAAAGTCACAACATTCTCAASCTCATTCAATGATATTGGAGAAAACTCATCAATTAATGGGGAAAACTTGTCTTTTATGGCATTAATATTTAGAATTGAAAATGAAAATTCTCCTTCATGACAGGTAAGGAAGGAAAAGTTATAAAAACTACATTAGGCAAATTATCCAAATCATGCTGGTCGTAAATCTCAATAGATTCTAAAAATATGTGTGAGTGGATCTACTTCGCACATTTGTCATCGCCCGTCTTCTACTTTGATCCTTGTTCCTGGACCATGGAAGTCTTCTAAACATATTTTTAAAAAAGTCATCTTATCCCAAGAGATCGCTGGTGGGTTCCCTCTCCAATTTGGTGTATGAAAACTCTTCGAAACATCCTAATAATGAAGCCACTAACCATACATAACATTTTTTTTATTATTATATTTTTATTATTTTATCAACCACAACAGCACTATCAAAATCAGATTAAGAGATCTTAGAAAGTCAGTCATCCACCACCATAGAAATTGGGAGTGGCCAATGGCCTGATCCACCTTCTTTTTATCCTCCCAAGGAATCAAAGTTGATTCGAATTTGAATGGGCGATGTGTTTAGTACTATCTAAAAATTATAGTAAAAAATTAATTGCATATGAACTAACTAATAAATCACATCAAATAAACCGACATATATACTTCAAAGCAAACATAAAAAAATATTATATCCTAACAAAATAAGAATAATAATATGCCTTAATATTCTATAGTATATATAAATGGGACTATAGGGAGAAATTTTTTCGCCCTATTTTGCCCTTTTAATTTCAACATCCTCATAGATATTTTGAGGGTAATTTTGTCTTTCAAATATAAAAAATTTTCTCTCTCACCCCATTTCTCTCCCTCCCACGCCGCTTTCCCTTTTTTTTTTCATTTCTTTTGAAATATTTAATCTCCATTGTCAAAAATTTTACATTTCTCAAATTAATTTTCTTTTTCTAATAAACTATCCCTCTTGAAAGTTAGAATATAAAGAGTTAGAATATGGAGGATTTTGTCTCTTTATTTCTACGTTAAAAGGTTATAACTTATTTTGAATTATAATTAATAATGAATTTTAAAAGTTTCGTAACTTTTTATTTTCTACAACTATATAAAGAGTTTTTTCTTACTCTTTCTCCCAACATTTTCTTCATCAAAACTTGAGTTTCTTTTCTCTTTCGGTATGTAAATTTTCTCCTTTAGTCAATGTCTTGTATTTTCTTATATTTAGTTAGATTGTTTGATCGAATATTCAACTTTTTTAGTTATTTTTTTTCCAAACGACTCAATCAACTGGAAAAAGAAAAGTGAAAATGAGTGATAAGATCGAAACACCTTGGATGGATCCACTTTGGGATGACACTTGGTAACCGCGAGGACCCTCTCAATGACCTCCTCCTTGGTAAGGTGATCATTGTGTGATGAAAATAGCCGGAGCAATCCATCGGAACATGGCTGCGGTTGGCATTCCCGGCGAGCTAGGGCAAGGAATTGGACCGGAACTCAAACATGGCAAANGTTTGATCGAATATTCAACTTTTTTAGTTATTTTTTTTCCAAACGACTCAATCAACTGGAAAAAGAACAGTGAAAATGAGTGATAAGATCGAACCACCTTGGACGGATCCACTTTGGGATGACACTGGGTAACCGCGAGGACTCTCTCAATGACCTCCTTGGTAAGGTGATCATCGTGAGATGAAAATAGCCGGAGCAATCCATCGGAACATGGCTGCGGTTGGCATTCCCGGCGAGCTAGGGCAAGGAATTGGACCGGAACTCAAACATGGCAAATAATGGCTGCCCTGAACGCATCTCTATCTCTCACTTTTTTTTTTGTCATTTTATTTTTCAATGACTCAAATAAGAAATTGAAACAAAGTTGTATTTACTTTTATGTATTGTTATGTTTAGGGAAAAAAAAAAAGATGAAAAATCCATGAATATGTGTTTTTTTTAGAAAAAAAATTTAAGTAATTGAAGAATAATACTTTTAGTCACACTAACCACATCAATGAGTGATGAGAATTATTGAGACGTTGTTTGATGAGATAAACATTGAAAATACGGAAAAACTTGATGAGGTAAACATTTAGAGATAAAAAAACTAAATTATATTATAAAATTTAACTATTTAATTAAATTTTATATTTTTAAACATTGAAATAAAAACTATGAAATTTCACGTGCACCGAACGTGTTTTAGTAATTATAAAAATATCATTAATCTAATCGAACAGTCAAACTAGTAAAACAAAACGTCCCAATTCAGACAAAATCAAACTAAAAAATATCTAAAATAATAATGAAAATAACTAATATCTTTAAAAAATATATATTATATAAAATCACACTTCACAAGTTAAAAAAAAATCACACCTTTTAATTTTTTAAAATATAACAGAAAATTTACTTTCTTTATTTTTTAAATGTATTTTACTTTATATTTGAGTTTGACTTGAAATATATTGAGTCCGCATCATTGTCATCGACCCCACAATCCACAACTTATTTTTAAATTGATATTTTCCATGATATTAACTTTTAACATAGCTCCAAATAGGCTTATACGTTGAAATAAAAAAAATCGACTTATGCGTTATACCTAACTCTACTAGTTTATGCATTTATTTTTGATTAAAATGTTATGTATTTATCTCTGATTAAATGATCGTGTATTCGAACCCCACCCTCTTATGTTATACTAAATAAAAAAATCCTCATTTCTCTCCATCCTTTCCCTTGTCCCCTTGTGCCTTGGGTTGTTCTAAATAATAAATATAATTGTCACTTTTTTTCTCATCGTGGAAATTTTGAAGAAAATCCCGTATTCCCTTCTTCAGGAATTAGTCTATTAGTATGTGTATTAAATAAAATTATGGTTAAATATATATTTTAATTGTTAAAGTTTGTATATTTTTTCAATTAGCCTCTATAGTTTACATAGTTCAAGAAGTTACTTAATTTTTAATTTCTTTCAATATATTATTTTTGCTGGTGACTGATAAAATTAGCTAAAGAAAAACTTACACACCATAATATATAGTAGGCTTGTATCAATCCAAAGAGGATATATATTAGGTCATGAGAAAATTTTCTAATTCATTATTTAAATTTCTAAAGTTACTAAAAATTTTGAATTTTCTTCTATTTCTCCCGTCAACTTCTACTAACTCACTAATTATCAACCAACTTGAGTATAACTCAACTAATTAAGATACCTATTTCCGACCAAATGGTCGTAAATTCGAATCGCCACCTTAAAATATTGTACTAAAAAAAACTCACCAATTATCATGTCAGCGGATCATCAATCAATTTTAACATTAGAATATGATTGAAAAATATTAAAAGATAGGGAGCTAAATTGAAACTTTTTAAACAATAAAAAAGAAATTGAAAAAATACCCTAACATTTGAAACTAACAAATATATATATATTTAGCCTAAAATTGCAACATTTAATTTCACTGAAATTTTCTTTAGATCAAATTCACTAGATAATCATCAAAATCAGAAACTACTCTTCTTTAAAATACTCATCTATGAACAATATTTGGTTGTGAACTGGTCAACACCTACGGTGACTAAGAAAAAATATCTATTTTTTTTATATTTCTCTTATTTATTTATTAAGAATATAATGGTAATAAACAAAAGATGAGTACTACACCTAAATATTTTTCATATATTAACTATATTTTAAAGTAAGTCTATTAGCATTAAAAAAATCATCTTGAAATATTCTTTTCATCAAATTGAGCTTTTTTCCAAAAATGAAATATAAGTAATGGAACAAAATAATTTTGTAATGTGATAAATAATTTTTTCTGGAAATATATTTTTTAAAAGTAATATTTTAATTAAAATAAAAATCTCAGAGCTCCCATATCTTTCACCAGATGCAATACCAAGATATTTGGACATCAATAAATCAAGTCAGAAAGGAGTGCAGAATAAAATATCTCCATACTAAACGTGAAGACAGTTCGTCCACGTCATCATGTGCGCCAACTTGAAAATGACCCGCAGGTGGAAACCGATATTCCGACACGTGGCTGAGTTTCATTGGGCATTCTTCACCATTAGCTCACGCCTCCGCTCTATTTCACCTCCCTCCATTATTGGTGTTTTCAATTGGTTATTATTTAGGAAAAAATTGATTAGAACAATCCTACCCTTCCAATTTTAATTTCATCGACGACCCCTAAGTTTATAAAATTATGATTAAATATTTAACATGAATAGTTAAAATCAAGCACCTAGATCTCAACCATTTATTTACTTTTAATATAATATAAACGCATCTCAACCATTAAACTATATTCATGTTAATAAAATTTAACTAAAAGTTATTGTTATTCTACAAAAAATTTTACTACATCTCAATTAAAATATTATAACCATACTAATTGTACCTCCTATCTTTTTAAAGTGAGATTCTTAACATATTCCTTCAAGATCGAGACTGATACCATATTTATATTCATGAGGTTTCATTTCAAAATTAATTGACAATTAGAAGGACAGTTAATTTCTGATTATTTATTTTTTCCAGGTGAGATACTTTAAGAGTTTAATTATAATATTTTGATAARTAATCCAATTAAAATTTTGAGGGTGTGATTGCAACCGTCTCTATTTCGAGGCGGTTTTTTGCAATTTTTTTCCATTATTTATCTATTGAAGTTGAAGGAACTCGGAAGATTGCACCCAATCAAGTTTCGCCTCGTCTCCCAAGTCTCTGGATCGAAGAGTGCGAGTGAGAATCTTCGAAGACAAATGGCTCCCCGTCTGGTCTTCGTCTTCTCCGTTCTTCTGGTACTTTGCTCCGCCGTTGCCGGATCCGCCTTCGATGATTCCAATCCCATCCGGATGGTCTCCGATCGTCTCCAGGAGTTGGAGTCGGAGGTCGTCCGAGTCGTCGGCCAAACTCGCCACGCTTTCCGATTCGCCCGATTCGCTCACAGGTTACTTCGATCCTGACTCCATGATCTATTCGTTATCGTTTTCGCTATCTAGTTGTTCTGCCAGTTTTTTGTGCTGAGGTACTAGTTGTGGATTGTTTCAGGTATGGGAAGAGTTATGAGACGGCGGAGGAGATGAAGCTCCGATACCGAATTTTCTTGGAGAGCTTGGAAATGATCAAATCGACCAATAGAAAAGGCCTCTCTTACAGACTTGGTGTTAATCGTAAGTAATACGATTGATGGTATTTCTCACTTTAATTGTAGGTTTATGAGAACTGGTCGATTTATACGTTGTGAATTCGTTAGTGTTGCTCCGAACAAAATAGGATAATTGATTGCACTTTTGATTTAGCCATCTGAGATCATCTCGCTTAGCGTAATTGATCTAGAAATAGGGAAAAGAGATAATGCTGAATCGATGATGGTGCTTTACTTTTTACATTGCTGCAGAATTTTCTGATTGGACGTGGGAAGAGTTTCAGAAACACAGGCTAGGAGCTGCTCAAAACTGCTCTGCTACCACAAAGGGCAACCACAAAGTTACCAATGCCATTCTCCCTGAATCGGTACATTATTACATCTACTCTTGACTACTTGAATCCTGAAATTCTATTTGAAACTAACTGAAAAATTATGGCAACAATAGTACTCTACTGACCCAAATAATTTAAGCTTAGTCTGACTGACCTCAATAGATCTGTTTTCTCACGTCAAAACTAACATGTTCTGTTATCACGGGGAGCGAGAATTCTTTTCAAGAGGGGAAAATTTTACATTCCAACTTGTTATATGTATAATTGTCCTATTCTAAGAATTAAAAGGGCAAATTAGGAGTAGAATTTAAAATATACATGATTCTAAACCAAACTAGAGACAATTGCTCCCCGCTTTCTTTGCTCTGCCCTGCTCATCCAACATTTCATCGAAAATCCAAGATGAACATAATCCAAATTTCTCGCCGTCCTATTGCTGAAAGAGCCATTTTAAATTAGCTTCACTAGATGAAAGGGTATGAACAGAATTTAACGGCATTTGTTGAATAGTGAGCTACTCTGTGACACCCCAATTTAACGGCATACCATTGATAAAAGGAAACTATAAAATTCATTTAAGAAAAGTTACGGTTTGCCACCAACCATATGTTGAGAATCGGGTCTATCTTAGTGTTTAGAAGTACACATATTCAAACGAATTTGTGAAGCTGAGGCTTCGTTTACAACCTTTCTTACGTCTTTTATGCAGAAAGACTGGAGAAAAGATGGCATAGTCAGCCCTGTTAAAGATCAAGGACACTGTGGTTCTTGCTGGACATTCAGGTTAGTATTATCTTTTGTACTTTGTCAATAACAGAAGTAGATATACCACAATAGCCCAACTCCGTTGACAAAAGCTTGAGGTCTTTTGATCATACTGATTTAGAGGTCTCAAGTTCGAAATTTCTAATAAGCTTAATGCCAAAAACTATTGATGTCTTTCGGATCCGGACTTGAGGTAGGTGTGGATACTCTGGGTGTAGGAGAGCAAAGCTCCGACTCTTAGTTATAAAAAAATAAATAAATAAATAACAGAAGTACGGAGGGAAGGCAGCTCACTGCTGCTCATAATTTATTCATACAATTTTTTTTTAAATCTTTGTTTTGCTGTTGCAGTACCACTGGAGCTCTTGAAGCGGCCTACAAACAAGCACATGGAAAGGGAATCTCCCTGTCCGAGCAGCAGCTGGTGGACTGTGCTGGTGCTTTTAACAACTTTGGCTGCAATGGTGGACTACCTTCCCAAGCTTTTGAATACATCAAGTACAATGGTGGCCTTGACACTGAAGCAGCATATCCTTACATTGGAAAGGACGGAAAATGTAAATTCGTAGCTGAAAATGTTGGAGTCCAAGTAATCGATTCTGTGAACATCACTCTTGTAAGAGCCAAGGACTAGGACTAATTCCTTCATTTTTCTTCTTGTTGTTCCTCACGGCAAAGTTGACATAATTAACTCCGACTGTGATAAATTGTTGGGGCTATGTTTGCAGGGTGCTGAAGATGAATTGAAGCATGCCGTTGCTTTTGTTCGACCAGTAAGCGTTGCTTTTGAGGTGGTTAACGGTTTTCGCTTGTATTCAAAAGGAGTTTACACCAGTGACTCATGCGGCAGTACTCCTATGGTTAGACTTTTCTTGTTTGTTGGCTCTTTAAGAAGTCTTACATGAATGTGTTCATCATCTTCAGTCTGCAGTTACATGGTGACATGGTAACGTGATGAGATCATGTCTGACAGCTTCTGGTTTTCAATTGGCAGGATGTAAACCACGCGGTGCTTGCGGTTGGTTATGGGGTCGAAGATGGTACCCCATACTGGCTGATAAAGAACTCATGGGGAGAAACATGGGGCGACAATGGCTACTTTAAGATGGAGATGGGCAAGAATATGTGTGGTAAGTTTTCTAAACAAATGGTCATAGGAGTGACGATAGAAAAAGTGATTTTGAAAAAGGAATTTAAATATAATTGATTTTTCAAAATCACTAATCAATTTAAAGTCATTTCAGACTTTCCTAAAATCAATTTTTTAATTTACCAAACATGATCTCTGAAAATTATAGTAATTTTGACAATGACAAAAAATTATTTTGGCCATACCAAAATTACTCCCAAACACATAGCAAAGTTGAGTTGCCTTTATGACTTCATTTTTTTTCTCCAATGATAATTGTTTTTTGGGTTTCAGGTGTTGCAACTTGTGCTTCATATCCCATTGTTGCTTAGAGTACGAGGACAATGCCAAAAGCTTTGCAGAAGGAAAAGATACTTTGATGTTTAAAGGTACGGTTAGTAGAACTGAAATTAAAGTTTCTATTTCTAGTTCAGGTAGTTATTGATTTGATGCAGACTATAATGTACTTGTGGTAAGATGATGAAGCTCCTGTAAATTTGAATATTTAGAGATCCTTGGATTTGTATTTATAATGTACTTGCGAGTAAGTAATGTATATTTCCTGGCAATCCAATCGTATAAAATAAATATGTATTTATTATTCTAATGTACTTGCTAGTAGTTCTTTTAAATTTCTGTGACCTCTTTGGACCAATGGACAAACTATAATGGTGGTTAAAATAATATATATTTTATAGAAATATCATTGCTTATTGTTTTAAAAAATGTCACAAAAGTGATTTTTGGTTGGTCTCTATTCGTATAAGTTTGCCATTTATGTCATTTTTGTAAAATTTTAAACCTAAGATTATATATTAAATTACACCATTTTTTTGTGTTATTTTTGTAATTTTTTTGTTGAATACTCCATACTCCGTAATTTGTGAAAGGGCCCTTTGCTGTATTAAAATTTTTTGAAAAGCTCTTTTAGTCGGAAACTATTTTACAAAATTAATTTCTCTAAAAGAGACCATATCTCTTTTTCTAACCTATTTTTAAGAGATTTATACTATATAGAGAAATAATAAAACAATTATTGAAATCTAGCCAAAATTTGAAAGAATATATAAAATAAAATATAATTATAAGTAGAAATAAGATGAACTAATACGATGTACTTTTTTATGTTGATACAAAATAAACAAATATGATATATTTTTGTATGTACCTCCTCAGTGTAACACAACAATCAAATGTTTGAAATTTATTTTAAGAGAAAAATAGAAGATAGAAGACTAATTTTTAATTAAAATTAATAATACATTTAAGAAAAAAAAGTGAAGCAAGTCTGAATTTTAAAAAGACGAAATTTGTTTTGAGATAAAAATCATAGAAGATAGAAGACTAGGCTAACTTTTAAAACCAAATCAATAATACATTAAAAAGATAGGCAGATTGAACCACTTTTACTTGTCCTCCTCTATGTTTTTTGTCTCCTATATTCGTTTTCAGAATCTCTCTCTCTGACATCCCTCTACTAGTTTCACACAATGCCCATCAATAGTCCCTTTATCGACATCTCTCTCAACTTCGGCAACTAGTTGTCATCCTTGTCTATACAAATTGAGATATATGTGCATATATTTTCAAATATATATTTAAAAGTGGAATGGTTAGTAGAATCTAAGAGTTGATTTAGAAAATAATGACTAAATAGAGTAAAACTGTCAAAATTGAATAATTGAAAAAATACAAATGGACATTTTTAATAATTTTTAATAAAAATTATTTGGAGAGAATTCTCACTTTCTTATACTAATATGCCTCAATTTTATTATTGGGCTGATCAGCCCAAAGAAATGCAGGTTTAAATCTTGACCCAACTGGCTTTAGACACTGTATGGGAACTGGGCTAACCTATCCTTCAATTGCTAGGCTCATGGTCATTGGATCAAGATTTAAGCTCCACCAATTGAAGCAGTCCATTTTAATAATCAATTTTAAAAAATAAATAAATTAGAAAATGTTTTTCTTTCTTAAAACAAGATTTGATTATTTTTTTTAAAAAAAAAATTGGATTGATATTTTGGATTTTCCGTCTATTTTTACTTTTTTTCCCGATAAAGTTATTAAAATTGGTTTTTTTTTGTCAAAATATTAAGAAACTTTTTATTAGTTTCCTATATTTTATTAATTATATATATATTGGGTACTATGTCCTAAAACTCGTAGTTTGTAAACAATAAACATTAATGTGAGGTTATTCAGACAAATGTTGTTAAATGGAAGTGAATTTGTATTTTAATAAATCCAATAAACTACGAATCCTTGGCTATTATAACGAGTACTTGGACTTTATGTGGAGACATAAACTGGATCAAGTTCAAGTAAATAGCCTAAACAGTCTATAGTACATGGATCAAGTTTGGTACTTTTTCCTGGAGACACTATTGAATACGGCCCGCTTTATGATTGTTACAAATGTTGTAATGTGTCATAAACGAAGTGATCCTGATTCGTTCGTGTAGAAACATGTGAGCGGGAGTGTTTTACACAATGAGATTGTGTAAGATTGACCCTGAAATAATTACTGTTACGTATTAACACCGTTTACGGATAACACTAATTAATTTCGTTTTTATCGATGACCTAAATAACTTGATCTAAATTCTGAGTCATCTATGAACCCCTATTTATTCAGGATTCTCCCTTGATCTGCATAGGTCAGAGTAAGCTCATCAGCGCTGCTCAATATGCCTCCCATTTCAGGGATAAGACTGGGTAGATAGCTGGGGACATAAAATTAGCAAGACGGAATTCACTCCTACCCGAGTTAGGGATAGTAGAGAGGTTGTTCCCTTAAGGGCTGATCCCGAGTCTTGAACAAGGGGCCCCATCCTCTCACTGGCCCGAGAGGAATTTGATTTAGTGATTTGATCCTAAATCAATTGTTCATTAGAGGGATAGTGGTACTTAAGGAGAAAAGATGTAACTCAGGGGTAAAACGTTTTTTTTTGACCTAGCTGAGGTTACGAACAGCCTGTGAAGGATCAACTTACCGATGACGGTTATATCGAATGGACACAAATATATCTACAGTGAGGGGAGTGCATCTACAGGCTATAGTGGACAGTCCTGTTAGTTAACGAATGTTGATTAACTAAGTTAAAGAGTTTGATCTGTTAGTCTCGAATCGTTGGAGCCCATGATTTGTAGGTCCAACGGGTCTCCATGCTAGCTCAGAAAGGATAAAATTGATGAACTAGGTGAAGCAAGAATTTGAAGTGTTCAAATTCGGTTTTTAAGAGAATATTGTATTTTATATGAGATATAATATATAATCTAATTGACATTTAATTATTATGGAGAGTATGACTTATTTAAATTAGTTTTAAATAAGTTCAAAGCATGAAAAAGAGTTGTAATTTGATTAATGTGATTAATCAAGCTTAGGTGTCAAAGACCAATTAATATGAGATATTGATTTGGCTTGGTTTTTGTTTTAATAGAAAATTGATATTTCAATTTCTGTTTTTATAAAAATTAGTTTTATCAAAGTTTTATTTAAAAAATAAGTTGGATTTTCCCACTAACTAGTGGTTTTTGAAGGGTTTCTTCAAGGCAATGACATCTATCTTTTAGATGCTAGTGGAGTTTGAAGTGGAAGGCATGCAAGACTTGTCTTTGCATGCATTTGGTCTTTATATAGGTGATGAAGATCACTTGGATAAGGYTAATGCTTACTTGCATAAGTGCAGAATTTTTCCACTYAAATTTCTATTGTCTTCTCCTAGCCATTAGTGTTTTCCCTTTGTTTTCACTCAAAATTCGGTCCCACAACCGTGTTCATCAACCCGAGGATAGCACGGATTTGTCGTTGGTGGTCCCATTGAGTTAGGAGAAGAAGTTATAATGGAGGTCTTCAAAGGTATAAAGTTAATCTTTTTTCTCTTTACCTTTTCCATCATTTTTCCAAGCATGCTTATTTTGGTTAAATTGCTTCATTAAGTGTATTATGATCATTAGCTTCCGCTGTGCATGTCTAAGAGTTCCATCAATATAAACCTATTAAAGTGAATGAACGGCACTCAAAATGAGTGATTTGTATGTAATCTGTTGGATCTCATGAGGTTTGGACTAACTGAGTTGTATAAATTTGAAACCATTTATTAAATTGAATATTGATAAGTTTTGTTTTTTCAAGTACAACTAAATAAATAGTTGTCTCTCAGACTCTCCCAAAAGAATTATTTTGTTAATGTGTAAGCTATATATAAAATTTTATTGAAAACGTTGCTCTAGGTCAAGGAGTATCAACTAGAAAGATGAGTTTGTTAGGTTAATGTAGGTTTTTTTTAAGAGTAAATATTATAATGATATGATATAGATATTCGAACATACGACTTATAGAAATGGTACTTATAATAATTGTCGAGATATACTTAAGTTGTATATAAGGTAAATTGTTGGCTTAAATCTTTTATAACCTAAAGACCTTATTTCACGCCAATAGACGAAATCGAAAAATAAATAAGTAGAGGATGGGGATTTACAGAAAAATTTCCATTCTTATTTGAGTATCTAGGGTGGGAAAGATCCTGAGCGTAGAACAAGAAAAGTCAGAAATCAGAGTTATATTGGCAGACACATACTGGAAAAAATCTTTCTTTGTCTGGTCAGTACATCAGCGAAGCGCTTTCCGTTCCCTCTTTTTCATTCACATCATTCTTTTGCCAGTTCTGAATAAAAATAAAGTCTAGTGATCATGTCATTTATACTAACGAATGCCATGTTAGTACATGTCAATTTGTTCTAAAAAGATGTTGAACATAACATAAAACACCTTGGTAAAACTTTTAAATTATAAACACCAAAACCAAATTGAAATTGAAATATTGCTCAAATTTTATTCTTTTTCTCAGTACAATATTATATTTTATATAACTTTAAATTTCATCGTATTGAAGAAGTGTTTCAAGTTTTACCTTTCAAACTCTTTTCTTCAGTTATAATCGATGGATAATACTCATAGATTTGATACAAAATTAAGAACATGGCGAAGAAAACAACACTAAGCTTAATTTTTATTTCAATTAATGAATTTGAACTATTTAATCAATAGTCAATCATGCGCTTGATTTTATGCGTGAGTCGTTAGTGTTTGATTTTTCATATCGAAAAATAATGAATTATCGGAGAAATTTACATTGAATTACAACGTTAAATCTTAGGTTCAAATTGAGGAATTTTAAAGTTTTAAGATAAAACCGACTAAATTTCAAAGATAAAAAAATAACAATAACTCATCTAAGAAACATAAAATCTTAATTTATTAATAAAAATAATTTGTATAAATATTTTAATCTCTATAATTACTTTTCAAGAATATTCATTGGTATTTATGGCTATAACTTTAAGTTAGTGTGAGAATCTAAGGGATATATATTTGCGCCAAATGAATTTATATCAATCATTATGTTAATCTCTTCCATAAACAGAGGAGTTTGATATCAATTATATTATAAGAGTAATCAATATATCAAATCTAATATATCATAAAAATATTTATAAACTTACAAAAATTTTTGAGATGTAGCTATAGATTTGTATTAAAAAAATTTCAATGATGTATATTAGGTACAAAATTATGTAAAAACTTTATAAATA